GAATATTACTCAGCTATAAAGAAATATAAACTTGAGGCTTTTATAAGTAAATGGTCACAACTAGAGACCATACTTATTAGTGAAATAAATCAGACCATACTTATTAGTGAAGTAAATCAGATGTTGCATGTGTAAGCATCATATTGTCTCACTAGTGTAAGACCTGAAAGAGTGAATAAAAACTAGGAGGTATGATAGACATTATGAAACTAAAGGAAAATGCTCAAAAGTAAAGGGCAACTAGGGTGCAGGAAAAGAGAAGGGAAAGAAGGGGAAATTCTGTAAGTATGTATATACAGGATAGCTAACATAGTTGTGCTACTGTCTTCTATTGCTCTACAGAAAGGAACAGTTAATGATTACTTGTTTGATCAATCTTGTATGTCTCTATTTGTTTTCCTGAGAAACCACTTTGAAGATACCAGTAAGTAATTCACCAACCATTGTTAATTTCCTACAACTTTGTCTGTAACTCTGTTTTGTTTATATTGTTCTTATGCTAGTTTGTAAATGGATGTCTGTTAATGTTTTACTTCTTTTATTTTTTAAAATAAATTTTAAAAAATAAAAAATAAAAAACAAATGAATCATAAAATTAATCAACATTATAATACTGGTTTTAAAATAAGATTGTACTATACAAACCACCTGACATAGACATTAAATGGGAGTTTCCCTATACTCCTTTTGAAAATGTTCTATTTGATTTCCACTGGTATTGTATCTTTTTAAGTTTTGTCTTTCTCCCTTTTTATTTGTATTGTGCAAAAATAAATCCATAAAATGTAGAATTTTAACAACTTTAAAGCATTTAGTTCACTGACACCATTATATAATCTATTTTCAGGGCTTTTTTTTTGGTACAGGGAGTCAAACTCATGACCTCGCCTTTGCCAGGCAGGTGCTGTGCCACTGAACTTTCTTCCTGGCTCCAGGGCTTTTTTTATCTTGCAAATCTGAAATTTATCCATTAAACAGTAATTCTTTTCCCTCCTCCCCTGATCACAATTTTCCTCCCTGTTTTCAATAATTTGATTAGTTTAGACATTTCTTGTGATGGGCTTATTTCATTTGGCATAATGTCCTTAAGGTTCATCTATGTTGTAGCATGTGCCAGAATTTCCTTTCTAAGGCTGAATAATAATTTCACTGTATATACACCATACAATTTACATTTTGTTAATACATTTATTTGTCATTGGACATTCATGTTGCTTCTACCTGTTGGATATTGTAAATAATGCTGCCATAAACATGGGTGTGTAAATATCTCTTCTAGATCCTACTTTCAGTCCTTTTCTATATCCAAAAGTAGAATTGCTGCATCATATGGTAATTATTTTTAAACTTTTGAGGAGTCACCATGTTTCTTAAATCAGAATTTTTATTGTATTTTATGTCCTCAAAATTTTCCAGGAGAAAAACAATTACTTATACCACACTGTTTTATATAGTAGCTGTACCATTTTCATTCCCAGTAACAGTGCAATAGGGTTGAAATTTTTCAAAACTTATTACTTCTTATTTTCTGGATTTTTATTTTGTTTTGTCTTCATTTTAGCCATCCTAATGAATCTGAGAAGAGACTGTAGTCTTGATTTGCATTTGTCTAATTATAAGTGATACTGAAAAACTTTTCATGTACCTGCTGGCCATTTATATATTATTTTTGGAAGTACATCTATTCCTTTGCCCATTTTTAAATCTGAGTTTCTTTCCTGTTATGGGAGCTCTTTATTCTGGATATTAGCCCTTTATCAAGTATATGATTTGCAAGTATTTTCTTCTATTCTGTAGGCTTCCTTCCCACTCTATAAATAACATCCTTTCATGCACAATCATTTTACTAACAATGTCCAATTTATCTATTTTTACATTTGTTCCTTGTGCTTTGAATATCTAAGAAACCACTGTCTAATCCAAAAATCACAAAAATTTACACAAATAATTTTCCTAAGATTTTCATAGTTTCAGCTCTTACACTTAAATCTTTGATCTATTTTTACTTAATTTTAAAATATGATGCAAGGGTGCAACATAATTCTGTATGTGGATATCCAATTTTCCAAGTATTTTTTGTGGAAGAGACTGTCCTTTTACTAGAAGATATTTTGTTGAAAGGTATTTGACCACACTGAAGTGTTTCTTTTTGGACTCTTATGCTATTCCACTGACTCATATGTGTTTTTACACTAGTACCATACTATTTTGATTGATATAATTTTATAGTAAGTTTTTAAATAGGAAGTGTCGGGTATCCAACTTTGATCTTTTTCAAGATTGTTGTGATTACTGAGAGGCTTTTAAGATTTCTTGCTTAGAAATATGGGCACTCAGCTAAAACTCAGATTTGTTATGAATCTACCTACATACCACCTCTTCTGGCAGTTCACCTCTAATTCATATAACCTGATGTAATGTTGTTGTGCCCTCTTATGAGTATGACCTCCTTCTTTCATTATACTTATCACAAAGATATATAATTAACTTTTACGCCTACGAGAAAAGTTGTAACTTTTCCTGTACTACAAGATGGGTATAGTCTTTAATGCTTCATTATACTTACCAGAATGAGCAACCCCACATGCTTTTTTGACAGGATCTGCAAAAACTATAGGTATACAATCAGCACCAAGTGCTGCAATTGTGACTCCTCTCTGATTTGTGGTTATTCCGTCATAAAATTCAGGCTCCTTTTTTCCCATGATCCAGACTTCACTGCCATGATCAGTCTAATACCAAAGATATATGATAAAAATATTTTGAAAATAAGATCTCTCATAACTTTACTGAAAGTACTTCAGTACAAAATTATATAATTACTGTCAATTATTAGAATTCAATAAATATACTTCTAGATACAGTAAAATATCAAAATGCAGTATCTCTGACATATTTCACTCAAAGAAAAGCAGACTTAAAGTTTCAATGTAATCCATCTTGAATGGAGGAGGTCCCACTAAAGATGGATAAATCTCTACTTGTAACATTTTCTACAAAGTGTGAATTAACTTATAAAGAAAATTAAATGATCAAATCATTCATAATTTTACTTCTTCAGACTCAAGTACGAGGTATGATTGGAATGTTTAAATTGTAAAAATATAGTAATAATACACATTGCTATTAATCCCCCTCAAAACACTGCCCTCACTTCAAACATCCCATGTTCCTGCCACTTTCTGAAGTAGTTCTGGGAAATCTTTTCTCATGAATGTCTTTAGCTGTGCTGTTATGGTTGCTTCATTGTCCTGAACTGACTAAAAACATTTACCTTTCTTGGTATTCTGACTTTGGAGGAAAAGCCAGAAGTCACAAAGTGCAAGATCCAGTGAATAAGGTGAATGAGGACACACCACGTTTTTATTCTTTCCTTTCCATTGGATAGCACTTGGCAGCAGCATTCACCAAGATTTTAATCACACCTCATACAGACATTCAGGAAAAATCAAGGGGGAGTATTTTGAAGAGGATTAATGACAATGTGTCCTTTACTAAATTTTTTAATTTATACATTCAATGTATAGTTCAATCACATGCCATAAAGCTAGAACTGTGTGAGGAACAAAACATTATCATATCCATTATGCCTCTAGGTCTCCCTAATGTTAATTTAGAAAATTATGGCCTTTGTTATCCATAATTCAGGATATATATAGAGAGACAGACAGACAGACAGATAGACAGACAGACAGTATACTCTGAGAATTAACCATACTTTTAGAATTGAGGCGCTCCAGGTGAAACATGTATCACAGAACTGATCTTTAGGCTATGATGTAAAAAACCTAAGAAAAACAACTACAGCATTATCCTAAACGGTTAAAGGAAACACTAGAAGCAAGAGTATCAGCTAAGATAAAAATACACTTTAGATCTTTCAAAATACAAAACAAAATTTTACCTTTACTCGGTAAAATTTCTCGGCATGAAATCCTGCAGTATTCGCCAACCTACGCAGGTTTTCTTGAACAACTGTTTTGGGATCTCTCCGTTTGGAACTACTGAAGAGATTGCAAGAGCTAAGAGTTGGTATGTAGGATATCCCACCTGTTCTTGTAGTAAATCCATGTATGAAAATGTCTGTTGAAGATAGGTAGTAAAGATTACAAAAACGTTCTACAAAAGACTATAAAGCATTACAAAAGCCAAACTCTCCAGTTAGACCTTCCTGATCATTTCAACCTGTGCTTATTTATTCACCTTCTAATTTTAACAGGACTTTGTTCCCTATGTTATTATATACTGCTGTTTGTTTTACCATCCCAATGAGATTATTGCTGTTCAAAGGGTACCTTCTATCTCTTTATTATACCCAGTGGAATACAGCACACAACAAGTACTGTTTAACCAAGAAAGAAGACTTTATATAAATAATTTTACTCTTCTGTGAAAGTGTCAATGAGTTCAGGTTTCAAAATTCCTAAATAGAAGATTTTCAGGGTGAGAAACCTCACTTTCAAGGACAGTTGGAGGATTTGTCGAAAAGCTGAATTTGCATGAAGCAAATCATTTATTTAGGGTGGCTTTGAAGGAGTCATCCCTCGACACCCTTGACTCACAAAGCCAACCATAACAACTACATGGTACAAATGATACTGACCAAAAAAATAAAACCACAAGAGTTAACAAAAGAAAAGATGGAAGAAAGGCTATCAATCTTAGAAGAAAGGCTGGGTTTTCATGTACGTGGTAAAAACAACAGATAGTGTTGAATATACCTGGGATCAAAGGAGATGTAATAATAGTTAATTTTCCATTCAGTGCTGGCAGACTTCTCAAATACGTTTCTATTTCATCCTGGATTTTTTCTAGTTCAGGAGCTGTGATCATGTTTATTTCAGTGGACTGCTTCAAAAGGCCATTTTTTACCTGTAAATCTTCAAACTCAAAACTGTAAACCTCAGTGAAGAGTTGGTCAATAAAAGCCTTCATTAACTTTTTCCTGTGTACTGGTACAATCACCTTAATGCTGCTCAAATTTTTTTCATCAATTTTTTGCTTAATCATATACAAAGAGGCAGCCATGCTCGGATTACTAACAATCTCGAAGTCACTCAGGAAGGCTGAAAATTCATTGCTTGTTTCCAATTCACAATTATCACGTTCACTATCCCATTCACAGCTGATGTTACTGCAACATATTATGCAAAAGTACTGGGCCCTGCCAGCGTCGTGGCATCGGACAGCATTCAGGGTCTTCAATAATGTCTGATTGCAGTTTTCCTGAGGGTTCAATTCCAAGCCAAACAGATCAATCAACACTGCTTCTGCCATCCTCCAATACTGTATAAAGTTCTTCAAAGAATACTTTGGTGCCAAACAAACAATCTCTAAATAAAAGTAACCATAAGCAAGAATTCAAAGTCATCAGTCCTACAACAGAAATTTGTGGTGGATAAAAAAGAAAACAATTGCACTGATCTAAAAAAGTAACTAAAATAGTAAGTCTGGATGCCTTTCAGGAAAGCTAGTCTATTTGTCATCAGAGACACATGACAATTAAAAGCATCCTTTATTTTGTGAAAGTGTAGCTATGTATATCTTCCCAGCAGAACAACAGTTCGTGTGGGTTATTTCATTTTCTTTATGTAGCAAATTTACTAGGAAATTACTTGCCTTACAAAAAGTCCATTTTATAATTATAGCTTGTCGATCCATGTGACATATTAGTCCCAGCATGATCATCATATTAGGTCACATGTGAAGTAGACCATGAAACAGAAAGGCTTCACGCTCACCAGGTTAAGATGAGCTGAACTTGAAAGTCACATTTTTATGGAGAGAAATGCTGAGATGAATGATTTCCTCCCAGAATTTACACAGCACTCCTCACTTGGCCACGACTCAAAAGTGACTTCAATTTTTGGACTGGAGGGGCTTCATGCCTACTTTTCAGTGGTCTGATTTTCTCACCTCCTGCCCCAGCCCTCTCAAGCCGGCTGCGGGTCTCTCCTCGCCTCCGCTCCCCGCGCACGGTCCCGCTGTGGGCGGGACAGCGTGCCCGCCCGCCCGCCGCCCTGCCCCCGACGCGGGCCTTCTCCGCGC